TTGAAAAGGGCTTTTTTTTTTTTAATTAAAATTACATGGAAAATAACATGAAAAATATTGAAAGCACAGGCATTTTTCTATTTTCCTATTTAAATATATTCATAAAGACTTATGTTTTTTTATTAAAATGAGGAATATCTCACTGTTGTTATATCTCTTGAGTGTTACCATGTTTGTGTGTGAGTTTTTACTACTAACAATGTTTTTATTATGTTTCTTATTGCTTCCTTTAGTATCTAGACTTTTGTTTATGGTACACTGTCATTTCTAGAACTAGTATATCATTTGGTTCTTTTTTGGAAAACAGTTGCATAGATGTAATATCTTTTAGTTTTCCTTACAATATTCATTTCTGTTGTTTCATATGCTAATCAGAATAACTAAAATTTCTGTGATACAGGAGTGGCATCTATTCTGTTGATAATATTTCTGAATTTAATGGATGAATTTCTGATGTTTCACTATTATTATTTTGTCTGATGGTTCAAAATACTTTATCCTAAAAAACTTACTGAATTCTCTCATAGTTTTATTGTAGGACTTGAAGGTAATACTTTGAATTACTGGATTTTACTAAGTACTTTATAAAAGCAAGGGTAGCTGTTAAGAGGGTCACTTAGACTTTCATCCTGTTGAAACAGTATATTTACTAATGTGTTCAGTTTCCATTGTTTCTGGCAAGGAAATGTCTGCTTTGTGGCAGGTTGTTTGTTTTTTGCTCATTATTTAATTTCATTTTCAGTGTTTTATTTGACTTTTTGAATTCTTACATAATACATGATTTATCTGTAATTTAAATTAGTGATCTCATCCAGTTTTAATTTCAGATGAAATTTTCTTTGAAACTTCTTATACATATATGTTGCCATCCCAATAACCAACTAGCAGAACAGCAAAGATGTTCTTGATGTGATTAGTTATGGAAATATGATGTGGGGGACAGACAGTGGGCACTTCAGAGGTGTGTTCAGGTATCACTTCACATGCATGAAAGCAGGAAAGGTAAATGAATATGTGAATCGGGGCTGGAGAGGTTCAGTGCTTAGGAGCACGCACTGCTCTTCCTGAGAACCCTAATTTGGTTACCAGTACTCAAATTGGGAAGCTGGCAATCACCTGGAACTATAGCTCCAAGAGAGTGAGCACCCTTTTCCAGCCTCCACATCACACATATAATGTGGTGTAATGACACACAGGCACACACATATACACATAAGTAAAAATTCTGAGGGTAAGACTCCAACTTCCTCTGACTCTTCTTAGTTCAAGCAGAGTTTCACATCCAGAAACTCTTGGATAGTCTGTATCTGGCTCATGGCAAATATTCCTTACTAGTGGTCACACTGCAGTGGGTTCCCTCTACTATTGTCTCTGGTCCACACCAGTTCCTTTTGTCCAATTATGTATTGCACATGTGAGAGAAAGAGATGGTGTTTATCTTTCTACATGAAGTCAACAACTATCATCAGTTGACTTAGAGTTACTGTTGTGGTGAAACAACAGGACCAAAAGCAACTTGGGAAGAAAGGGTTTATTTGGCTTATGCTTCCATATCACTGTTTATCATCCAAGAAAATTTCTTCCAGGATGAGAACTCAAACAGGGCAGGAGCCTCAAAGCAGGAGCTGATACAGAGGCTATAGAGGGGTGCTGCTTACTGGCTTTTTCAGCCTGCTTTCTTATAGAGCCCAATACTACCAGTCCAGGGATGGCACCACCCACAATGCACTGATTTCTCCCCCAATCAATCACTAATTAAAGAAAATGCCCTTTAGGCTTGACAGCATAATCTTATAGAGATATTTTCTCAATTGAGGTTCCGTCCTCTTAGATGACTCTAGCTTCTGTCAAGTTTACATAAAACTATCCATCATACCAGTGTTTCTGCCCTAATTGACTTCCCCCAAAGAACATAGTGTCCTTCCGCTCCTGATCTCTTGCTGTAATAAGCCTATACACATATGTTCTTTTAGTTTTAAAAATTCTATTCCTGTACACTTGGTCAACATTTTAGAGAATAAGAATTACCCCAAGAAATTTAAAAAACCCAAGGACTCTTAGAATTAGAGCCGATGACTTCACCTTCCCTTGTTCTCTGTACATTGACCAGTCGTGAGTCTCTGTATTAAACAAAGATGCTTGTGCAGTGGGGCTAGCCTGTGTGTTTCTGCTAATGTGGATAACTAGTAGAGCCTTCAGACTCTGCATATCTTCTCTTTCTTTTTAAAATATATTTTATTTGAGAATGTCATACATGTACATAGTGTATTTTAATCATATCCATTCAGACTGTCTCCCTCAAACTCCTCCTATAATCCCTCATTGACTCCCCATGCTAACTTCATGTCTTCTCCATTACCCCACTGAATCCAATTAGTGCTGCCTGCATGTACATGCATAAGGACTGTCCTCACCAGCAAGGACAGTTTGCCAGGAGCAAGACTCCAGAAGTAAACTGATTCTTCTTCCCCCAATAGCCAATGGCTTCTTAACTAGGTGTGAAGCCTTGTGAGCCCCTCCTTGATCTGCACTGGAATTTGGGCTGGCTAGGTCTTAGGAAGGTCTCAGGCAGGCAGCCACAGCTGCTGTGAGTTTGTGAGCATAATGCTCTGTTTTGTCCAGGACTCTGGTGAAGGGCTTCTCCCCACCTGTCTCTTACAGACTTCCTCTTCCTCTTCCTTAATGTTCTCTAAGTCCTATGGGAAACAGTATGATATAGATGTCAGTTAGAGCCGATGACTTCACCCTCCCTTGTTCTGTGGACGTTGACCAGTCGTGAGTCTCTGTATTAACCAGTGCCCGCAGAAACAAAGATGCTTGTGGAGTGGGGCTGACAGCTGCGCAGGTACAAAGGCGAGCATGGGGAGACATCGTGACACCTATTTAAAACAACGGTAGGCTTCACTAGAGTTGTGTTTGGGCCATGTTTACAGTACTATGTAAGAGTTCCATTCCATGAATCAGGCATTCAATTCAGCCCAAAGGTAGTTAATTACTCCTGTAATACTCATGCAGGAGCTCTCATCCTAAGTTCTAAACCACAGTTTTCCTCCTGCAGCTGGGCATGATGGCTGTCTTGTTTGGTTTTTGTCAATTTAATACAAGCTTAGACATATCTGGAGAGCAGGAATCTTAATTGAGAAAATGCCTCCATAACACTGGCCTGTAGGCAATTGTGTTGAAGATTTTCTCAATTAATGATTGATGTCTGAGGGCCTAGCCCACTGTGAATGGTGCCATCCTTAGCAGGTGATCTTTGGTTATATAGGAAAGTAGTCCTTTTCCATGGCCTCTGCTTCAGTTCCTGCTTCTAGGTTCTTGCCTCGACTTCCTCTGTGATAGACTGTGACCCAAGAGTCCTAAGCTGAAATAAACCATTTTCTCCCCAAGTTGCTTTTAGTCATGGTGTTTATCACAGCAGTAGAAACCCTAACTAAGACAGTAGTGCATGTCTGTCACTCAAGTACTTAGGCTTTGGGAGCAGAATGAAGATGAGGCTAACCTGGACTACATAGTGAGTTCCATCATGGTCTAAGTGAGATACTCTATTTTAGTGTTTTTCCTAAAAGTTAAGAGACTTGCTTTTTCCTAATGTAGATATAAAGATGTTCTGACCTTTGTCATTTCTTTCCATACAGTTACAAAAGCCTCTTTTCTTCTTGTACTTTCTAACTCAACCATGCCTTGTCCCATTTTAATCTTTTAAAGACATGGATGTAGTGCAACCTTTTTGACTGTTAATTATTACATATAAGATGATTAGATTTTTTTTCTTAAACATATATCAACAATTATCCTAGGTAGAAATTTAAATGTTGTGCTGGTTAGTTTTCATCAACTTGACATGAGCTAGGGTCATGTGGGAAGAAGAAACCTTGATTCAGAGAAGACCCCATAAGATGCCTGTAAGCAAGTCTACAGGGCATTTTCTTGATTAATGATTTATATGAGAGGCTTCAGATCACTTGAGGCGGTGCCTACTCAGGTGATCCTGAGTGACATATGTAAATGTAACCCTGGGGGAGGAGTGTTTCCATGCCTTCTTTGCTCCCAAGTGATGGCAAGATGTTTCTACACCCATTCTAGCCCATTTCAGCTCCCAAATAAATGACACAGAGTCCTGGTATTTTTGTAAAAAGACTTCAGGCATTATGCTGGGCACATTCTGAGCTATTCTAACCCAGCTATGCTGTCTACTTTCCAGCCATGTGGTCTTTACCTGCATCTGAATCTTGCCCTGGTTCGCCTTGGTCCATGTGTCCTCATAGCCGTTCTCTCATTGCTATCTTAAGGAGAATCCTCCTGGTCCATTTCCATGGTCTCTCCACCTCTCTTCTCTCCCTTTCTCTGTGGACTCTTTGGGACCCCCTGACTGTAATTGGAAGTCCCACCACCCTATTCTCTTCTGCCCAGCTAATTGGCTAATCAGCTCTTCATTAACCAATCAGAGGTAATGGAAAACAGTTTTTATATAACACTGAGACTGGAGATGCCAACATCCAGAGTACAACCAAGTGTTTGAGCATAGAAATTAATATCTGAAAACACTGTGTATAAAACCATCTCCCAACAGGCATAAGAAACCAGGCCGTGCAAGCCAATAAGAAGCACTCCTCTGTAGTTCTACTTTAGATCTGTCACCAGGTTCTTGCCTTAAGCTCCTGCCATCACTTCCTTCCCTTTCTTCCCTGGGTTGCTTTTGGTCATCATAGCAACAAGGAGCAAACTAGAACAAATTTAAATCAAGAAATCATATAAATGCCAGCAAAAAGTTTAGATTAATTTTTGATCTTAATATGCAGGCTTTCTAAAATATCGGAGACACAGACCATAAAAAGCATATAAATTGAGGAAAGTATTTGTAATATATGACAGAGAAATAATAATTTCCATATACATTTTGAGTGAGAATATATATAAAAATGATGTACCAATATAGCCCCTGATAGAAAAGAGTTGTTTCTTATTTTATTTCTTTAATTTTTTTGTTATGTATATAGCAAAAACAAATTAGCTACTCACCAGGAATATGCAGCATAGAACATCAGCAAGAGATAACTAAACTGAAAACTGACTTGGAAAAGAAAAGTATCTTTTATGAAGAAGAAATATCTAAAAGAGAAGGAATTCACGCAAGTGAGATTAAAAATCTGAAGAAAGAGCTGCATGACTCAGAGGGCCAGCAACTTGCTCTCAACAAAGAAATTATGGTTTTAAAAGACAAATTGGAAAAAAACAGGAGAGAAAGGTAAGAATCAAATCATTTTCTCATCTAGAAAATATCTACTATGTGTATGTTGTGTGCCAAGTCCTAGGAAACTCAGACAATAGGAATATCGAAGTTCCAGCAGGGAAAAGTCAAGATTGCTAAGCAGGCGACTCTAGTGCAGCATGGTGAGAAGAAGCAGGCGACTCTAGTGCAGTGTGGTGAGAGGGCAGTGGGGGAAGTGTGGAAGCAGCCCAAGAGGGGCTAGAAGGACCTTTGGGGCATGGGACCTGTCCAGCAGGAAGTAAGAGGGAAGTGCCCAGGAAGAAGTAGCAGAATGTGCTAGGACCTAAAAGAAAGAGAATCTCACACAGTCAGAAAACAAATGCTACTTACTGTGGTGGATACACACATAGAAAAACCGGAGTGGTAAAAGAAGAGACTATGGGGAAAAAAAAAAACACCCAGGTAAAGTTGTGGATTAATGCAAGGCCTTTGCACTTTGTCCTAATGGATCAAAGAGAAGTTACATAACAGTGCTTCTATTTTGGAATGGTCACTTGCTACCTTGTGCAGAACTATTTAGAAGCATGTAAAGGAATCCAGCTATAAAACAAGGCAGTACCGCCCCTCCGGAATTCCACTTCCCTTCTGCCCCTGCCTGGTCCTTTGGGCTAGGGCAGACACAGAGTTGGTCTGCTCCTGTGGAGATACTGAATCCTGATCCATCCTAGAGGAGCGACTGCACTCAGAGCAGCCAGTAAGAACTCCATCTCACTCCCTAAGCC